TCATTGTTGTTTGGCGGGTCCGGGCTGGGGATTCGAACCCGCCACCTCAGGTGTACGTGGCTGGCGCCCTAGCCGGCCGAGCTATAGGCGCCGAGCCCAGGCCACATTTTAATGTCTGTAATAGAAAAATGTTCATGATGGTGAACATGTATTGCGTGTATTGGTGTTGAATAGTATTTCTTTAAGGTTTGCGTGTATTTTAATTTTACCTAAAAGCAAATATAAAGTTATTCTGAATTTGCTAGTAGGCAGTTTTTGTACTAGTCAACAATTTAGCCTGTCTGCTCTTAGTTCCTATAAAAGCTGATATGTCAGTGTTTTATTTATGGAATTATAACTTAAATACAGTAAGATTTCCTTTCTGTTTAACATGCAGTTCATTGAGTTACCCAGTTAAGATGGGGAGTATTTCTGCCACCCCCGAAAGTTCATTCTTTCCTCAGTAGTCAGCCCTCTTTCTGTTGTTCTCACCCTTGGACAGTTTCTTTCTTTCTTTTTTTTTTTTTTTTAAATTAAGTCTTTTGTACATAGATTATAAATACATTTGTGCCATTCTATGATTCAATGTGATGATTATTTGTACAAATTGGAATGTTTACATCCTATTAAACAACATCACCTTCACCACTTTTACCCTATTACAGGATTAAGACAAAAATATGAAATGCTTCACGAATTTGCATGTCATCCTTGCGCAGGGCCATGCTCATCTTCTCTGTATTGTTCCAGTTTTAGTATATGTGCTGCCGAAGCCAGCACCCCTGGGCAGTTTCTAAGCTGATTTTTGTCATTACGGTTTTGTATTTTCCAGAACGCAGCATAAATGAAGTCATGCAGTATGCAGCCGCCTCTTTTGAGTGTGGTTTCTTTCATTTACAGAATGCTTTTGCAGGGCGGCGCCTGCGGCTCAAAGTAGTAGGGCGCTGGACCCATATGCCGGAGGTGACAGGTTCAAACCCAGCCCCGGCCAAAAACTGCAAAAAAAAAAAAAGAATGATTTTGCAATTCCATGTTGCTGTGTGTATCAGTAGGTCGCTCTTTCCTATTGATGAGTAGTGCCAGTGTATTTTAAGAGTCCTGCAGTACAGAGATGAAGATTGACTGAAATGTGCCGCCTCACGTGTGTTTGAATTTAGCTATTTTTCTCTTATGTGTGCTTATATAGAGGGTGGCCCTAAAGCCGTGTGCCATTTAAAATTGCACACTACTTTAAATTGCACACACACTTTATGGCCACCTTGTATATGTGCATAGGTCTTAAGGGGAGGGGTTCCTGCAAACTTTTTTTGGAATGATTTTCAGTGGTGGCAGATGACCACTTATAAAAAGGTACAGAACCGCTGGTCTCATGTAAGCTCTTGTTTCAGAATTAAAACCATATATGTTTTAGAAATACATTCATCGGCATGTCAAGAGGTCATGCTTTTACGTTGATGGAAAAGTTTACAGAATGTACAGAACATAACCATTTTTGCTTAAAATGTGGTACAGGCAAATAGAATATTAAGGCCGGGCGCAGTGGCTCACGCCTGTAATCCTAGCACTCTGGGAGGCCTAGGCAGGTGGAGCGCTTGAGCTCACAAGTTCAAGACCAGCCTGAGCTAGAGCAAGACCCTATTTCTAAAAATAGCTGGGCATTGTGGTGGGTGCTTGTCATCCCAGCTACTTGGGAGACTGAGATAGGAGGATCGCTTGAGCCCAAGAGTTTGAGGTTGCTGTGAGCTATGAGATCATGGCACTCTACCCCGGGCAACAAAGTGAGACTCTGTCTCAAAAAGTAAATAATAAAACAAAACTAGCATTAAGTGGACGGTGCCTGTGGCTCAAAGGAGTAGGGTGCTGGCTCCATATACCAGAGGTGGTGGGTTCAAACCCAGCCCAGGCCAAAAACTGCAAAAAAAAAAAAAAATCTAGCATTGAGTAGCAGTGCCGTTGCAGCCCTGTGACAAAGACTTCTCCTGGGTTAAAATAGCTCTCACACAGTACCAGGAAGTAGGTACAGATACCTCGTGTTACTAGTGAAGAACTGAGGCGCAAACATGAGATAAACAATTTGCCTAGGATCATGCTACCCCTGAGAGAAAAGACATCACTAGAACTTGAACGCTGGTTGCTCTGCCTTCTGGCGTCTTTGCCCCTCACCAGTGGGCAGAACTCTCTAAACATCTGGAGGGTGGTGACACTAAAACCCAGACAAAGGCACACTACCTCCAGCAGGGAGAGTGATGAGTGTTTTATTTTCCACTGCTGGCTTTTCTATATCTTCACATCTTTGCTAAAACAAGTTGTTTTGCTTTTTGTTTTTGGAGACAGAGGGTCAAGCTGTAGCCCTGAGTAGAGTGCTGTGGCATCACAGCTCATAGCAACCTCAAACTCTTGGGCTTAAGCGATCTTCTTGCCTCAGCCTCCCAAGTAGCTGGGACTACAGGCACCCGCCACAACACTTAGCTAGTTTTGGGTTGTAGTTGTCACTCTTGTTTGGCAGGCCTGGACCGGATGCGAACCCGCCAGCTCCAGTGTATGTGGCTGGCACCCAAGTTGCTAGAGCTACAGGCGCTGACCCTAAAACAAGTATGTTTTATAATTAAATGTCGTTAATTGAGCAAATGTAACTTTTTAAAATAACTTTAACAAAGAGCAATAATGATAGTTACATAGCAGGATATCTGTTTTGAGTCTTACCATAAATTTGGATTAACAAACTTTGTCCTGACAAGATGAATCACGCAAGTGCCATAACTTTCTAATTTATTCTCTTATTTTGCTCCATGTTTGGGGAAGGGTCAGTGGTGAAGACTTGTGACCACAGAGATGGGAGTCTGTGGTCATGGTAGGTGTCAGGCTCATGCCTCAGAGCTTGGGTCTAGAATCCTCGGGCGGCACCTGTGGCTGAAAGGAGTAGGGTGCCAGCCCCATACACCGGAGGTGGCGTGTTCAAACCCAGCCACAGCCCAAAACAAAAGAAAATAAACTGGATCTAGAATTCTCTGGCTGTCTTCTCAAGCAGGGCTGACTTGAGGCAGGCTAGGCCCAGTCTTGAGGTCTTAGTAGAAAATGTAAAGAGAAGCTGCTTTGTCCCAGAGCTCCTTTCGTTGTCCTTGTTGCTTCACTGTGTGGCATGGCTGGGACTATTCTCTAGGAAGGCCTGGCTTCATGTGAGCCCTTCTAGAAAGAACTGACCCAGAGTACACCTTGAGAGGCACTGGCCCAGAGGAGGAGTGGATGTGCCCTGTTTTTTGTTTTGTTTTTTTTTTTTTGAGACAGAGCCTCAAGCTATCCCCCTGGGTAGAGTACCATGGCATTACAGCTCACAGCAACCTCCAACTCTTGGACTTAAGTGAGTCTCCTGCCTCTGCCTCCCAAGTAGCTGGGGCCACAGGCGCCTGCCACAACGCCCGGCTATTTTTTTTGGTTGCAGCCGTCATTGTTGTTTTGGTGGGTCCGGGCTGGGGATTCGAACCCGCCACCTTAGGTGTATGTGACTGGCGCCTTAGCCCGTTGAGCTATAGGCGCCGAGCCGATGTCCCCTGTTAAGCTTGTTGGCGCCCCCTCCCTTCGAGCTCACACCCTCCCACAAAGGTTCTCTTGTTTGTAGAACATTACTGGGGGAGGAGGGCAGATGGTCTCAGTGTTGGAGGGTTCGATTCGCCTTTGATCTGCATTTTCTATTTGTTTATATTTATGTCCTCCTGCCATCGGGATTCTAAATCATGGGCAGCAGCATGGCTAGGTTCTTTGATTTGACTCAGATAGAAGAAAGATACTGCAGAAAAGAGGAGGAACAGGGATGTTAATTGTCATGGCAACCAGCAGGTTTTTATAGTGGAACACTGCCTTTGTAACCCAAATCCATCACCTTTTTCCTGACTGCAGAAAACAGAATGACGCAAACTCAAATTATAGTACCATCTCTCAGGGAGGTTTTGTTTGCTTTTTGAAAACAATCTCGCAGTGATTTTAGTCCCTTTGTGGCATTGCAGATCTGAAAGGCACCCTTTAAAGTGCCCTAGATTTTACAAAAGTTGGCACTTACAGCTCTCCTGTTATTATTATTTGTAATCCCCATTTCTTACCCACCTACCCCCACCAGTCTAATGCATAAGGGACTTAGAATGAGGACAAGTTGGTAGACATTATACAGCCTGTGGCACAGGTTCCCCCTTTGCAGAAAAGTGTTCTGTCTCCCCATCATCTAAGTCTTCGAATAAGGACAGGTTGGTGAATTTGGTAGACGTTATACAGCCCGTGGCATGGGCTCTCCTTTGGAGAAAGGGTTCTGTCTCCCCATCATCCGACTCTTTGCTGTTTGACCTTGTGCCTTCCTGTGCTTGTTTCCTCCTGACGATCCAGCAGATGCTGGGATGCTTAGACTATCTCAGTCCTGCCATCTCTGTGTAGGAGAGTTCACAGTCCACCCTCGGCTGTCTGAAACCTCTTGGAGAATTGAACCCTTGTGGTTTTCTTTTTTTTTTTTTTGAGACAGAGCCTCAAGCTGTCCCCCTGGGCAGAGTGCCGTGGCATTACAGCTCACAGCAACCTCCAGCTCCTGGGCTCAAGCGAGTCTCCTGCCTCCGCCTCCCAAGTAGCTGGGACCACAGGCGCCCGCCACAACGCCCGGCCATTTTTTGGTTGCAGCCGTCATTGTTGTTTGGCGGGTCCAGGCTGGGGATTCGAACCCGCCACCTTAGGTGTACGTGGCTGGCGCCTTAGCCGGTTGAGCTATAGGCGCCGAGCCCCCTTGTGGTTTTCATTTGGTAACTGGTGAGGCTTCACAGACTGAGGGTATGAAAAAACCAGTGTAAGAAATGAGCCCACAGGCAAACAGCGGAGCCTCCCCAGGGAAAACAGGGACCTCCTCGAGACCCCTGCAGAGCGTTCTGTTGATTAGCACTTTGGACAGAGAAGACAGGAAGGTGGGTTGCTCTTTGCTCCCCTCACTCTCCTGGCCTGGGGAATCTCTTTCACTGAAACAGACCTTGAGGTTGAGTAGCATTGGTGGTGTCGGTGTCTGCACAGCCTGTGGCATAGGAAAGGCACCTTTTCATGGCACTGAATTTAAGAATGAGCTCCTTTTAGCCCTGAGCGTTGGCTTCCGCCCAGCTCCACCACCCATTGACTCTATCACCCAGCTGTCTACTAAGTCAGGAGTGGGGCGTGTGGAGATGTCAGGCTGGAGTCCACCATGAGCAGCATAGGTGTGGATTGTGCTTGTATTTTTTTTTTGAGACCCAGTCTCACTTTGTTGCCCTAGGTAGAGTGCCATGGCATCAGCTCACAGCAACTGTAAACTCTTGGGCTCAAGCAGTCTTCTTGCCTCAGCCTCCCAAGCAGCTGGGACTACAGGCACCCACCCCAACACCTGTCTAGATTTTTCTATTTTCGTAGAGATGAAGTCTCAATTTTGCTCAGGCTGGTTTCCACCCACCTCAGCCTCTCAGAGTGGATTCTGCTTGTAAAGTTTCAGCTTTCGGCCTCATTCAACACATTCATCAGCAAATATGTAATGAGCCCCTGCTGTGTGCTGGGCTTACCAGGGGACAAAACAAAGCCTCTGCCCTAACCAAGTGTACATTTAGCAGGGCAAGGCAGCCAGCCAGATTGAAGGTAAAATAGTATGTTGAATGGTGATAAGGGCAACGTTGAAAAATAAAGCAGAGAAGGGGTTTGGGAGGCCCAAGGTGGAGGTGGAAAGAAGCAGTTTTAAATAAGAAGCTCAAGGGAAAGCTCTTCTTCCAGGACACCACTGAGGGAGACCCAAG